TGATAATAATAATAATAATAATAATAATAATAATAATAATAATGATGATAATAATGATAATAATAATAATAATAATAATAATAATAATAATAATAATAATAATAATAATAATGGTAATAATAAATAATAATAAAAATAATAATAATAATTATTATAATAATAATAATAATAATAATAATAATAATAATAATAATAATAATAATAATGATAATGATAATAATAATAATAATAATGATAATAATAAAAATATGCTGTTGTTGTTGTAGTTTTGTTGTTGTTATGTGCTGTATAGGAACAAACAATCAGGACAAATTATGTAAGACATCACATTGATAAGAATTTTAATCTTCCCCTTTGTAGAATGTGTGGAAAGAGAGGAGAAAGTGTACAAAGCATAATAAGTGAATGTGAGAAAATAGCTCAGAAAGAATACAAGAGACGATATGATAATGTAGGAAAGAAAATCCATCGGGAACTGTGTAAAAAAAGTACATTTAGAACAAAAGGAAAGATGGTATGAATATGACCCAGACGGAACGGTGGAGAATGAAAATGTAAAATGGTTGTGGGACATGAATATACAATGTAGCAATGTGATAAAGGCAAGGAGAAGGGAAAAATGGTATAATTGTGGATATTGGTGTGCCCGCCGGTGGAAGAGTACGTGGAAAGGAAAGAGAAGAGGCGGAAAAATACTAGGGCTTGCGAAGGGAAATTGGAAGACTATGGCAATTGGGAAAGGTGCAGGTTGTTCCTGTGGCTGTAGGTGTCCTTGGAAGTGTGACGAACAGGAAAGATAGAGAGTAAGAGAGTGAGAGAGTGAGAGAGAAAGAGAGAGAGAGAGAGAGAGAGAGAGAGAGAGAGAGAGAGAGAAAGAGAGAGAGAGAGAGAGAAAGAGAGAGAACGTTAGATTTTCCCTACTAAATTGTCTTTGGTTACTCTGTATCCCACCAAATAGGACTATTCTCTAACTGTTCTCCACGTGGGTTCCACAGCAGACTTCCCACAATACGTCTAAACAGGTTCTCAGTCCAACATCATAGCGTTCTCTTCCCCATAAAAACCCCTCTCTGGTTGTAAGACGATATTTATACAGCATTCCTTCATCCGCATCTGTATATGACGTCGCCCTATCCATTTTGTGAATGCCATCCCCCCCCTTACCCAAAGATATACCCCAGCTCTCACCCTACACGCCCCCCCCCCCCCACAATGTTCGCAGGTGCAGCAAGAGACCAGCAACCTGTTTTTTATAACTCCTGTTCCTCGTTCTCTACACAGGTTGTCTGCGAGCAATTTGAGCGTTCACACCCTCTGCAGCAGGTCAGTCTCGGCAGCCAATAGGAAAGAAAGGGAGACAGGGAGAGGAAGAAAGGGAGAGGGGAGATAAAGGGAGGAGGAGGAAAAAAAAAATGGATAAAGAGTTTTCAAACCCTTTAACCTCATTTCGTTTTTTTTTTTTTCTCTCTCTCTCTCTTTCTCCTTTCCCCTCTTTCTCCTGCCACCGTCACCTAAACCCATCCTGATTAGTCATTTAAAGATTTTCCTTAACCCTAATCCCTTTAACCCCAGAGAAAAGTAGGGAAAATGGTCTTATTAGCCGCATATACGAAATAAAACCCGTTTAACTTGCCTCATTACCCTTGCTCATAATTTCCCATATCCTGTTTATCCTTCCGAACAAAGAAGAAGGAAAGAGAGAAAGGCGACAGGAAGATATGATGCAATAACATTGTTTTCAGAGAATGTGAATGCCAAGATGACTATTTTTAGAAAAAAAGTTTCTGTCTGAATATATACATACACATTTTTTTTTTTCATGGGCATTTTTCATGCATAGGAAATATAACATTTTTTGTATTTTTCCTTTGATTTGATTAACATTTTTTTTGCTCGTACTACATTTTTGGGCAACTGTAAAACCAGTTTCATATACAACATATAATCATTATTTTTTAGATTACAAATACATCAATAGCACTTTTCCAAGGATATAGCTACATATCTAAACTGATAATCCATAATATTAACGGATAACAGGAAAGCTTTCCACGCTTGATTTAAAGCAATAATGTTTTTAAAAATATATCGTCTAGCTTTATAAAAGAATAACATAATACTAATGACTTTTTTTTCTTAAAAAATTAAGAAAGCACAGCCAGATCTCTTCTCATGTTCGCACCTCACTTAAACTTCACTACCGCACTTGCCACCGCACATTCTACCACACGCAACCCTTCACCACAGTCACCACAACTACTGTTACCCTCCCCTTACCATGGCCTCCTCTCCACCACAATTTCTACCCCAGTTCAACTTTTCATTCTCGCCCGAACTTCATTTGTCTTTCCCCCGCCCATTTCTCATCCCTGTTTCAAAGGCATGAGTCCTCGGCCGCTAGTCTGACTTCATCGACTGCCAGGGAAGATGGCAGTCAGTTCCAGTTTTGTTTTTCAGCACAGTGTTCTTGTAGATTTATTTTTTCAGTCAGTGTCATTTGAAATGACTTGAGCACACGCACATATAGTCAAACACACACACACACACACACACACACACACACACACACACACACACACACACACACACACACACACACTCACACAAGCAAAAAAACAAAACAAAACAAAACAAACATATACATATATAAACATACATAAATACAAAACATGTATTTATGAATAAATGTATATCGCCGGGCCGTTACAGGGCCTGTTTCTCCTATTTACATATGCAACAAGACAATCTTCACTTGCACTACTGGAGGTTCTCGAAACCGTTTCCAGGAACGTTTTTCCTAAGCTCAGTCAAAGCTCTCTGGATGTTGCATTATCACCTTGAGTTGAGTGTTCGTAAAGGTGTTACAGGTAAATAACAAACGGGCGAATACATCCCACATTGAGCGATATACTGATACACTGATATATAAGTAAATAGGCACAGAGATATATAGATAGAAAGACAGATATAGACTGATGAGAGGAAAAGATACATGTACATAAATAGAAGGCGAATAGAGAAGGTGAAGGAAGATGAAAGGAAACAGAAGGAGGGGAAGAAGCAGGAAAGAACAATAATGCTCAGTTTGACACTATCACACAACGCATGCACCCGTACACACACACACACACACACACACACACACACACACACACACACACACACACACACACACACACACACACACACACTTACACACATTGGTTATTATTATTAAGATTAAGTCCCACGTAACCTTCATGAGTCGACTTCGAAGATGAGACTAGCGGCCACGAGGAATCACCAACCGTCCCTGTCACTTTGCGCATGACACTTTCCTTTTCAATATCTGCATGACAGCCTAGTAGTGCGTGTGTCATTAATCCCACTATATTCTCGTTTTCGTTTTTTTTTCTTTTTTTTTTGTACGTCTCTGATTGGTTGGTTTTTGATAACAGGCTTGTTTGATACGGTGTTAGTTTGGACACCTATTCTACAGGTAGGTCTGCTGGGAGGAGTGAGTTTGGGAGAGATTTTTGTGTATATGAGGAGCGTCTTTCTGTCTGTCTGTCTGTCTGTCTGTAGGGCGGCTCTCTTGAATAAGGTGCATCATTCATATGTTAGCATCTTTGGTCACGAATGCCTACGTTCGCTTCTACATCTGACTTTGTTTTATCTCCGTGTCTCTGACTTTCTCTCTTTCTCTCTTTCCTGTTCAGATCTTTCTCTCTCTTTCTCTCTTTCCTGTTCAGATTTCCCTCTCTCTCTCTTTCCTGTTCAGATTTCTCTCTCTCTCTCTTTCCTGTTCAGATTTCTCTCTCTCTTTCCCCTTCAGATCTCTCTCTCTCTCTCTCTCTCTCTCTCTCTCTCTCTCTCTCTCTCTCTCTCTCTCCTGTCGTCTCTCTCTCTCTCTCTCTCTCTCTCTCTCTCTCTCTCTCTCTCTCTCTCTCTCTCTCTCTCTCTCTCTCTTCTCTCTCTCTCTCTCTCTCTCTCTCTCTCTCTCTCTCTCTCTCTCTCTCTCTCTCTCTCTCTCTCTCTCTCTCTCTCTTACTTTTAACGCCGTCTTAGCATGTTTTCAAGGCCAGACCGTTGTTTCTTGCAGTGCCTCCAAGGTACTTCTGCGCCCTGGTGTCTCCTTCCAGGTCTGTTTCCAGCTTGCATGTGGACGAGGATGCATCCTGCAACAGCTTAACGAGTCTTGAACAAAGGTAAAGCCTGCGCATCTCTTCGTCAGTAGCACCTTTTTGCACTCCTTTCTTGTGTAGTTAATGGCCAACGCCGTCGGTACAGCAGGTAGTACAATTTTCCCGTGTGTGTCTGCTAAACTGCAAGGAGCATAAACATGTCTTTAAATCAAAGGAGCTGTTATAGAGTACTAAGCTAAGGATTCAAAAGGACGTGTTCGTGGCAGTGTTTTCAGTTTATGCCCTCCCACATTACCCATTGTAATCTGCCAGCTTTGTTACGACGTTTTCCGAAGCGTGAAGATATTTACTCGTTTAAGATATTTTGTTTACTCGTTTACTTTTTTTTTCTTTTTTTTTTTAATTTCTTTTTTAACTTAATGTATGTGGAGAAAAGATTCGGCTCATATTTAATCGCCTGTTTTTTTATTTAGCATTATCTTCTTACCATTTTTTTTTTTATGAAGAAGCAAGAAAGCATCAGATCTGAATATATCGCTACCTCATTGCAAGAGGGTCGTAACTCCAAATTCCTGATTTTTTAGGAGACGCATTTGAAAATTGCTAAGTCCTATGAATTTGATCATGTTTCACAAAACAACAAAACTTACCATCTTTATATTCACCTAATAAAGATGGTAAGTTTTGTTGTTTTGTGAAACATGATCAAATTCATAGGACTAAAAAATCAGGAATTTGGAGTTACGACCCTCTTGCAATGAGGTAGAGATATATATTAATCAACACCCTCCCCCTTCCCCCCCTTGCCCCCGCGTTGCCACAATTCCTCAATTCCCCAAACGGCCTCCTAACTGCTCGCACTTCGCCCTTCACCAGACCCTCAAGTCGCAGCGGAAGGAGCGGGGAGAGGTCGCCCTTCGAGGGATCCTGCTGCGGGTCATCCTACGTCTCCTCTGAGTCCTCCTTGGAAATCACCAAGTACAGGGTAAGGAGAAGGAGGCAGGACAAAGGACTTACTTACTTATTTACTTACTTACTTACTTACTTACTTACGTACTTACTTACTTACTCACTTACTTACTGACTCACTTACTTACTTACTTACTTACTTACTTATTTACTTACTCACTCACTCACTCACTTACTTACTCACTTACTTACTCACTCACTCACTTACTTACTTACTCACTTACTTACTTATTTTGACTCACTTAAAAAAATATAATAACAAATAAATACATAAATAAAATAAAGAAAAAAAAAATAAAAAGAAGAATTTCATTCGAAGATTATTGTAGGATTCAA